TTGATGTTTCTATCTCTCCCTCTCCCTTACTCTCTGAAATCAATAAAAAAATATTTTTTAGAAAAAGATAAGATTTAGTTCCTATAGCAGTCAATCTACTTAACAACCACAAATATGAATATTCATAGTTTTTAAAAATATATATTGTCAAAAAGCAAGGCTTGCACTGGCTGGTGCTGGTTGAGCATTGTCTCATGCACTGAAAGGTCCCTGGCTCAATTTCTGGTCAGGGCACATACCTAGGTTTTGTGGGTTCAATACCTGGTCAGGCATGTACAGGAGGCAACTGATTGATGTTTCTCTCTCACATCAATGTTTCTCTCTCTCTCTCTCTCTCTCTCTCTCTCTCTCTCTCTCTCTCTCATCAGTAAAAACAGCCTGGCCAGAAGAGAACAGAGATCCACTGAACTAGTCACCATTCTCCAGTTTCCTCCTCCTTACAAATTAATTCATCGTGATTTTTAATCCCTCTTTTGATGAACGTGTAGTTTTAGGAGTGTTTATTTCCAGTTACATCCAACTGTGGATAGGAACATTTTGGGTGTTGCAGACAGAAGGAAGAATTTCCTAGTAAGGAGTTTAGAATCCTTCTAAAATAAACTTCTCCTACTTAAAAAAATATTTAAATTATAACCTTACAAAATGCAAAACACCGACTTTTCATGGCTGACAGATTATGTTGAAGAAGTGTCTTTTTTTTTTTTTTAAATATATTTTATTGATTTTTTACAGAGAGGAAGGGAGAGAGATAGAGAGTTAGAAACATCGATGAGAGAGAAACACCGATCAGCTGCCTCCTGCACATCTCCTACTGGGGATGTGCCCGCAACCCAGGTACATGCCCTTGACCGGAATCGAACCTGGGACCTTTCAGTCCGCAAGCCGACGCTCTATCCACTGAGCCAAACCGGTTTCGGCAAGAAGTGTCTTTTTTAAACCAAAGGTTGTGCCCCTTCAGTGAGTGAAATCAATTCACCAGTTAAAAATAAATGAAAGACGCCCGAGTCGTTTTGGCTCAGTGGATAGAGCGTCAACCTGCGGACTAAGGGTCCCAGGTTTGATTCTGGTCAAGGCCACAGGCCCAGGTTGCAGGCTCGCTCTCCAGTGGGGAGGGTGCAGGAGGCAGCCAATCAATGATTCTCTCTCATCATTGATATTTCTATCTCTCCCTTCCTCTCTGAAATCAATAAAGAAATATAATATATATATATATCTCCTATATAATAAAGAGCTTATATGCAAATGGTTGTCATGCCCTCATGTGCCAGGGCCAGGGGACCTGAGGCCACGCCCCCCGCCTGGTGGGGCTTGATGGGGGTGGGGCCGGCTGGGTCTTGGTCTTGTGTGATTTTGAGGCGCGTGCGGGTGGGCGGAGACTTGACTCTGGGTCCCATGGCGCTCCCCAGACTCTGACAGGAGAGAGATTTTTATATACATTTTACTAATTTTCTTTCATCTCTGACACTTCTATTATAGAGAAAGGGCAAATAGCAATATTAAAATATTTCCTCTAATTAATTCCCTTTTAATGTGCATGAATTTCATGCACTGGGCCACTAGTGTGTGTGTGTGTGTGTGTGTGTGTGTGTGTGTATTTAAAAAAATAAATAAATGAAAGACAATAGAAAATATTAGAGTGCACTATATGGAGTAAGTACTCATTTGTAATTAAACATATCTGCTGGGTCAAGAAGGAGAATGTATTCTTTGGTTTGTGGTTAAAAAGAAAAACCTGTGTTGGAAAGCCCTCGTGGTAAAGGCATTGGGTTGGCTGTTAGGATACGACCTGCTGCTATTACTTGAGAGCAGCAACCCTGACCTCCACCGACTCCATGCCAGTAGCACATCTCCCACGACCCGTTTCTGGCCAATTGGAGGCAGTGTCTGCAGATGTTGCCAAATGTCCCCGCAGGGGCGGAGAGTGGCGTGGGGGTGCTCCTGGTTGAGAAGCACTGGTCTAGACCGCAAAGGCCTTGCTCTGCTTTAAACTCCTGGCCTCCATCACAGGTCTAGTGCTCCATCCAGGTTCAAAGGAAGTCTGTCCAGCTCTGTCTGACAAGCTGACCCTGTGTCGTCCTGAGCCCCACCAGGGCCCTGGCCCGTTTGGCTCAGTGGATAGACTGTCGGCCTGCAGACGGAAGGGTCCCAGGTTCCATTCTGGTCCAGGGCACGTGCCAAGGTTGCAGGCTCGAACCCCGGCCCTGGTTGGGGCTTGTGTGGGAGCCAACCAATCAATGTGTCTCTCTCTCACATCGATGTTTCTCTCTCTGTCTCTCCCTCTCCCTTCCACTCTCTCTAAAAAGTCAATGGAAAAATATTCTTGGGTGAGGATTAACAAAAACAAAAACAAACAAAAAAACCCCCAAACAAAATAAATTAATAAAGCCGCCATCAGTTACAGAATCAAGATCAGAGTCACAAACTGGTATTAGGAGACCTGGGTGCAACACTCGCCCGTCAGAGGCTCTGGGAATAAGTCTGGGCGAGTCGAGGCCCTTATCTCTCTGGCTCTTGGGGATACACCTGTCCCAGCCACACCCAAGGGAGCTGGTGGAGGAAGGAGGGTGTGGCACAGGGGAAAGCCCTGTGGAGAGTTAAAAGCCCTCTTCAAAGGGAAGTGTTATAATATGTTCAGGCATGAGTCAGGTGCTACATCGGCCGCATTGCCCTCAGCTCGTCTCTCCTGGGGAAAAAGGAAAGTGTGGGGCACCTAGCAATGGAGCAGGCAGGGAAGACTGGCCCCTTTAATCCTGTTTCCCACTGCAAGTGGAAAGGCAAGGCTAGAACTCTGGCATTTATGTCGGACCACAGATGCCTGGGATGCGTTCCGGAGGGACGCCTGGCCCAGAGCCAGGGCAGAGTCTGTCTGGGATGCCCTGGGCAGCCCATCCAGCTCGGAGGTGGGGGGACTGATGCTGTGACCCCACAGCCTCTGTTACAGCTGCTTTCCGTCAAAAGGCTGTTGGGGGCTTTCTGAGTGGCGGTTGACGTCTGGGAAAGGAAACGGTGGGCTAGACCAGCGGTCGGCAAACTCATTAGTCAACAGAGCCTGATATCAACAGTACTTCTTCAAAATAGACTCGCCCAGGCCGAAAACCGACTCCTGCGCATGGGCCACGAAATTTCAATCGCACTGTACGTGGTATTTTGTGGAAGAGCCACACTCAAGGGGCCAAAGAGCCGCATGTGGCTCCCGAGCCGCAGTTTGCCGACCACGGCTCTTGCCTTCCTCTAGCAACGTTGTTATATTGGAACGCACTGCTTCTCACTCTTGACTCTCGCACCACTTTCGGTCCCTGGTCCTTTCCCTGGCCTGGCCTGGTCATCCTAGTTACGGTTCTCACTTCCTCTCCGTCACCTCACAGGGGACTAGGGAACAAGAAAGCCTCTGATTCGATTGGTTAGAAAAGGCAGCCGTCACAGCGGCCCTCGTTGCTTTTGGAGGAGAGGGTTTGTTGACCTCGTCCCCCCATCACTGTGGAACTGAATCTCTGCAGGTGTCATTCACGTTGACCTGTATATTAGTATCTGATTAATCTCTCCCTCTCACTTTAGACAAGTTGCATGAGGGGAGGAATGAAGTTTCCTTTATTGATTGCTCCATCCCAGCCCCCAGTACCAGGCACTCTGGCTGAATGTATGAATATTTACGGTATGGAAAGAGATAACTCTGTTGGAATTCTTTTAAGCAGGAAGAGTCAAGGACGAATTGTCTTAAGGGGAAAAATGCTACTTTCCGCTGAGTCCTTACGATGTTCCTCAGCTCCATGCCAAGTTCCTCATTGTCTTACCTCATTTAATCCTCACAGCAAACCCCGTGTCTTAAGTATGTAAATGAGGGACTGTGGGGAAGTCATTGCACATTTTAAGGACAGGGATGGTAATTAAGTTTTTATTAATTTTTATTTATTGAGTTTAGCTAGAGAAAGGAGGGGAGAAAGAGAGAAACATCAATTTGTTGTTCCACTTATGTATGCATTCATGGCTTGCTTCTTGTATGGGCCCTGACTGGGGATTGAACCTGCAACCTTGGTGTATGGGGAGGATGCTCTAACCGACTGAGCAACCGGGTCAGGGCAGGGAATTACGTTTGCAAGTTAGCACAAAAGGCAAAAATGGGCATAATCAAAATGACCTAATATAAACACTCATTGCATTGAGATGCCTTGCATTGCACGCTTACCCTGGAATATATGGCCCTTGGGTAGAATGGTAGGGGACTTACAAACTTAGTTAACTACGATGTCACTCCACTTGGCCCCATGTTTAAGAGATGAGAAAACAGGACCATGGAGATGATAAGCGGAGGGACAGAGCACAGGCAGGGTCGGAAGATGTCTAGTGGTCTTTGTAGGCGAGGGCTGGAGAGCAGGGACCTGGGGCGGGGATGGGATCGCGATGGGGGTCACTGATCCCACAGGGAGCCAAAGGATAGCAGGCTAGCCGCCTTTCCGCATTTCCCTCTCATTCCCAGCCCTTCCCCACCTGGTCACTCACCCGCTCGGAGGGCTCCAGGTTTTTCTACTTAACGTTACCTCCGGAGGTTCCTGCGTTGCTAGGTTACCCGCCAATCTCAGAAGGCGGGACTCGGAGCCTGATTGACTTTCCTTTTCACCATGCAATTCCGCTCAGTTCCGCCCACCTGGGGGCCTGACCAATCAGAGGCACCGTCTCTCTGACCCTCCACCAATTGAAAGACACGGACTGCCTCTGAGTTGGGCTGAACGAGTTAGGCAGAGAGGATGAGAGGGGGAAAGCCCCGCCCCTTCTCTAGGAGGCGGGCAGGGGGTCCTGCATCGGCAGCGGGCGAGAACTGGGGAAGGACTTGAGGATTGGCCAATGAGAACTCAGCATGGCAGCCTATCTAGCGAATGGGCCGCGGCTGAGGAGGAATGGGGCGGGGCCGGCGGGGTTGCGGGTAGGCGGCGGATGAGAGAGCTGGCGCAGCTGCTGTGGTGGCAGCGGCTGAAGTGGCGGCGGCGGCGGCGGCGGCGGCGGCGGCTGCAACAACTCCGGGCTCGGGGCTTTGGCGGCGGCGGCGGCGCCTGCAGGCTGGGCTGCACGGTGCCGAGCCCGGCGCGCGGTCCGGGCTGCTGGGGCGGCGCGTGTAAGAATCCGAGGGGTGCGAGGGATGGCCTGAGGAGAGGGCAGGGGGCAGGGGTCAGAGGGCGCCGAATCAGGGGGTGCCGCTGGGCGCTGGAGCGTGGGAGGCGGGCCGGGCAGGCGGAGGGACTGCGGGGAAGTTTTCGCGCGCTTCTCCCTCCAGCCCAGGCTGGGGCTTTGCACCCCCTCCCCTGGTCCCCGACTTCCTGGGGCGACCCCCGCTCGGGGGGCCCTCCCGCCCCGGGCTGGGAGCACGTGGAGCTGGAGCCCGCACTCCTCTCCCTCCCCTCTGTCCTCACCTGCTCCTGGTCGCCCAGGCGCCCTCTTGCCGGGTCAGGGTGCAGGAGCCGATGGCTGCTGGCCCTCCCCTGGGACCTGTTCCCTAGGGGTGACCCCTCCCTCTGCGTCCTCCATAGAGCGAGAGGCCAAGCCCGCCGGAGCCCTGGGCTAGGACTTGGGCCAGTCCCTTCCCCGCTCGGGACCTCACTTTTCCCTCTTAAAATGCCGGGCTTGAATGAGTTCCGATAGCAGGACTGGTTCTGGGAGGAGGCCGGGCAGGGGATGTCCCTGTGGTCAGGCGGCCTGGGCTGAAATCTGGGCCAAGTAAACAGCTTAGAAGAGGCAGTCGAGTTCATCCCTCTAAGCCTCAGTTTCCTCATCTGCGAAATGGGTATTTCTCAACAACGGCACAGTCGGATGGCAAAATGTTTTTCATTGTCAAAACTGAGCGAAAGCTACAGGGAAGTTCATTGACATGTTCTCTCTACTTTGAATATATTTGAAAATATCTATGGTAAAAAAAAAAAAGTTGAACCAAAAAGAAAATAAATAAAACAAAATTCTTCAGATAGCCGAATAGTAGTGTCTCATTTGGGATTTCCTCTTCTGTCTCCCCAGTACTGAGATTTAAAAGCAAAAGAAATCCCCAGCTCTGGAGGAAACAGCAACAGAAATCTACGGGGAGTTTGCTAGACAGAGAGCTACAGGCTCAGCAGCAGCAAGTGGAACGTGCTTGCTTCTGCTGCCTTGTTTTAAGAAAATACGGAGGCCCAGGGCCCTGCTTGAGGTTATTTGTGAAGGAAGTAAATTTCGGGGTTGCCATTCAGTGGGTTAGTCTGGAGCCAAAGAGGACTGAGCCCGGGAGGCCACAGCCTGAGGAAGGAACCTGCTGCTGTTTTCCAGTTCAAAGGTCTGCCGGCAGATCTGCTGAGTCGTGGCTTTTCTTTGGTGTCCTCCCCAGCGGAAATGGGAATGAGTATAAATAGGAACTGTAGCAGGCTGGTTCTGAGAGTTTTAAATCGGGACGCAGGATGAGGGCTTTTGCTGTGTGACGCTGGACATCACTTAAAAAAGTACCCTGGTCCTCTTTCCCTTCCTCCTCAAACACCTAAATCTAGGAGAATAATGCCTATATAAGAGTGCTATGGCCCCGGCCGGTTGCTCAGTGGTTAGAGCATCAGCCTGTGGACCAAAGGGTCTTGGGTTCGATTCCCAGTGAAGAACACATACCTTGGTTGCAGGTTCCCCATTCCTGGTAGGGGAACATGCAGGAGGCAACCAGTCAATGTTTTTCTCTCTCCCCTCCCTCCCTCCTTCCCTCCCACGCTCTCTAAAAATCAATGGAGAAAATATTCTTGGGTGAGGATTTTTTAAAATCCCCAAAACTTAAAAAAAAAGAATGCTATGGGCAAGTGTAGGTGACCTGGCCACTAACTTTTTCCAGGTCATTGGAGCTAAATGCTGCCTAAATACCAGGGCGTGGACATGGGGGAATTGTAATGTAGGGGTTAGGAGCATAGGGCTGGAGTCCAATTGTGTTCTTGGACAAGTTACTTAACCTCTCTGAGCCTAAAGTCTCCCCCTTTGTTATGGGGGATACTAATCCTACCGATCTATTATGAAGTTTCAATCAGCTTTACCTAAAAATTGCTAGAAGAGGCCCTGGTACATAGTAAGCACTCATCAAGTATTAACTACAATTATTTTAATAGTTATATATTTTTTAAGTCTTCAAAATCTTTACAAAACTCACACAAACAAGGACCAAGAGGGTGCAGGTGGAATATATTAGTCATAATCTTTTTAAAAATATATATTTTATTGATTTTTCACAGAGAGGAAGGGAGAGGGATAGAGAGCTAGAAACATCGATGAGAGAGAAACATCGACCAGCCGCCTCCCGCACCCCCCCCACTGGGGATGTGCCCGAAAAGGTACATGCCCTTGACCGGAACTGAACCCAGGACCCCTCAGTCCGCAGGCCGACACGCCATCCACTGAGCCAAACCGGCCAGGGCCATTAGTCATAATCTTAATCTCCAGATGTAATTACCATTAACTGCAGTATTTGTTCTTGCAGAGTTTTCCTCTCATTTAAAAAAAAATATATATTTTTATTGGTTTCAAGGGGGAAGGGAGAGGGAGAGATAGAAACATCAATGATGAGAGAGAATCACCTGCACACCCCCTCCTGGGGATCAAGCCCACAACCCGGGCATGTGCCCTTGACCGGAATCTAACCCAGGACCCTTCACAGGCCGACGCTCTATCCACTGAGCCAAACCAGTTAGGGCTCCTCTCATTTTTAAAGCTATTTTATATTGCAATACTCCACCATTTTAAAGGGTACCATTCAGTGGTTTTTAGTGTTTTCCCAAGATTAAGCAACCATCGCCACTATCTAACTGCAGAACATTTTCATCAGTAGTGGTTGCATTTTAATAATTTTTTGTTTTTTAATTCCCCAAACTCTAGATGATGCCTCAAATGGAGGAGTCTCTGAGAAGCATCTCTGGGCCAGTGGCTTTGAAAGGGAGCTCAGAGCAGAGGCTGTTTCCAGCCCTGGACATCACATCCTGAGGCCTACGGAGACAAGAGCATGGCCATGAACTTGGATGACGACGTTCCCCTCATCCTGACCTTGGAGGAGGGGGGCAATGCCCCGCTGGCTCCTTTCAATGGCTTGGGCCAAGAGGAGCTGCCTAACAGAAGTAAGATGGTAGGGTGGACTGGGGGTGGGGGGCGGGGGGCAACCTCAGGGGGTGAGTTGTGGGCTTGATGGTCTGATTGTAGACACGGTACCCGAGTGCCTGACTCTGTGTTTGACCCCTGGGGTCTGACACCAACTCCCGGGAGACTGCAGGGTCCTAATCCTGCACCCCCAATTTAGGGATGCTTCCAGGAGCCCTTGCCTCCCTCAGCGCCTGGCCCCCCTTTGCACCTGGCTTTGTTCCTGGATGCTTGGTGGGGGACCTCGGACACACCTGCGCCTTGGCTAGCTTCCCTGCCCCATTCCTGGTTAAAAAAAGAAACAGATTTCAACACCGGCCTCCGTCCGTCCCACTCTGACGCTGTTGGCAGAGGGCAGGGTTGACTGCTGCTCTCCGCTGGGGCTCTGTCCCCGCGTGGCCCTGGATGAGGTGCGGGGGGGGGGGGGGCAGACATTTATCGTGATCCATTGATTTGAGGGTTTGGGGTTTTGCTTTGTCGTCTTCTCAACCAGAGCCTAGCACAAGGTGAACCTGAGAGAGTTTGTGAGCTTTAAATGTTTTAAAGTTTAATTGTGTTTCTGGCAGAATGAGAAGCCTTAAAACCCTTTCTGGTGCTTGTCCCAAAGCCATTTGCTTCACTTGCTGGGGCCTCGGGTCCACGAGAGGCTTAAAATAACTTGCCTTTTATGAGGGGGCCTCAGACGGCAGGGACTAGCGCTTTAGCAGATGGGCGTCTCATCCGCCGGCCGTGTGCCTGAGCCAGGATGGAGGGCTGTTGCTCTCCTCCAGTTCAGAAGGGGAGATACGGATACGTGGGTCCAGGTGAAGACGAGCCTGCCCTCCTGTCCCTCTTGTCCAGAGAGAATACATTGGTTGCAGGGAGCTCAGCAGGCATCTCTTGGGAGTGATGAAGAGAGCAGTGGGCCTGTGGACGGGAGTGCAGTGGGCGGCCTGGCTCCCTGTAAACTGGCCTCTTCTTGCTGTGGCATGTTCACCCAGCTGGGGCGGCAGAGCTGGGTAGGCCAGGAGGGTTAGACTGTAAACCTGGGCTGAGAAAGCAGTGACCCTGACTTCAGGCGCACTTCTTTTTTAAAAAAAATATATTTCATTGATTTTTTACAGAGAGGAAGGGAGAGGGATAGAGAGTTAGAAGCATCGATGAGAGAGAAACATCGATCAGCTGCCTCCTGCACACTCCCGACTGGGGATGTGCCCGCAACCAAGGTACATGCCCTTGACCGGAATCGAACCTGGGACCCCTGAGTCTGCAGGCCGACGCTCTATCCACTGAGCCAAACCGGTCAGGGCAAGGCACACTTCTTAAATGCCCTAGAACTTGCCCACCTAATGTTCGGCTCTTTCCTATCTCTTACCTTAACTAAAATCCTTTTGTAAGGATTTTATAGAGGAGGAACCAGTGAGTCAGAGAGGGTAAGTAACTTGCCTCATGCCACTCAGCCAGCAAGTGGTGGAGAAGAGATTTGAACCCAGGACCATTTGACTCCAAAGTTTCTTCCCCCACTCCTCCTCCCTTTTCTCTTCTCTTCCTGCTCCTCTGGATTCTTTTCCTCCTCTTTTTTTCCTTCATAAGCTCTTAATAAATGTGAGCACTGGCCTTTAGCATTTAACATATGTTATCTCATCATATAACCTCAAGATAGAGTTATTATTATCTGTATTTTAGAGAAGAAGAAACAGGCTCAGAGAGGTTAAGTCACACAGCTAGTAAGGAGCAGTGCTTCTCTGATCTTCCCTCTCATGCCACTGTGTAAGGTGCTTTGGGAAAGGGGTGTAAAGGGGTGTAAAGAATGTGCCACAGTCTCAACTTCAGAGTAGGACCCCCTCCTAGTGAGGAGGTGGACCATCCATGACCAGCAAGGGAGGGTGGTTGATGCGCTAAGGGTGTGGGTCATTCTGGAAATAGGCTCAAGATTCTAAATCGGAATCCCGATCACTGTCGTGGGTGCCACTTGTAAGTCCTTCCAAAGTATCAGGGCTGGTGGCAGGGTGTCCCACTCTCCTGCAGGATCAACGTGGGGAGAACAGCCTAGTTCTGTGTCAAGATCAGGTTTTGAACCGATGATAGGGCTTGATGAGTAGGAACTAGGCCAAAAAGACAATAAGGCTAACCTTGGATAGGCCGCTCCTGGGACTGTCCTTGTCGTAGCGAAGTTGGTGGCTTATTTGGGTTTGTTTGTTTGTTTTTTATTTAATATTTTTTTATTGATTTCAGGGAGGAAGGGAGAAGGGAAGAGAGAGAGAAACATCAGTGATGAGAGCGAATCATTGGTCGGCTGCCTCCTGCACACACCCTACTGGGGACCAAACCCAAAACCTGGGCATGTGCCTTGACTGGGAATTGAACTGTGACCTCCTGGTTCATGTGTCGATGCTCAACCACTGAGCCACCATGGCTGGGCTGGATTTGTTTCTTTCTTTTTTTTTTTTTTAATATATTTTTATTGATTTCAGAGAGGCAGGGAGAGGGAGAGAAAGATAGAAACATGAATGATGAGAGGGAATCATTGATCGGCTGCCTCCTGCACACCCCCTACTGAGGATCGAGCCTGCCACCTGGTATGTGCCCTTGACCGGAATCAAACCCGGGACGCTTCAGTCCGCAGGCCGACACTCTATCCACTGAGCCAAACCAGCTAGGGCTGGATTTGTTTCTTAAAAAAACCCCCACACAAAATATAAAACTGACAGGGTGCAGGGAAATGGTCCTTTCTGCACAGTGCGTTAGTGTCTCACCCTCTTACTGGGACATTTGCTAAAACCTCTAAGAATGAGTGGGTGTCCTGCACCAAGCCTGGCTGGGAAAACAGCAGGGCCCGTCCAAGGAGGCCTGCTCCCCCCTTGGTTAGTTCATGCTCCGATTTTGGCATTGACCTTCTATCCAACCTCCCCCTTCCCTGCTGTCTGAGCATTCCATCTAAGACACAAATCCAGCCCGGTCATTTCCCTAGCTCGAAGCTCCCCAGGACCTTCTCGCCCCTGCAGGATGAAGGCCAAGTTCTGGGCCAAACACGAGGCCTGGGGTGTCCTAGCACCTTCTAACCTGATCTGCCCCATTTCCTGCCTTCGCCCACAACATCGCGCTGCTAGTTTGCGAGTCCGCGCCGTGCATTCTGAAACCGCCTTGCTGGCACCTCACTGCGGCATGCCTTCCCCAGCCTCTTGTTTGCTCAGAAGCTTCAGTCCTGTCTTGGAAATCCTGCTGAGAATGAATCTCTCTGAACCTCCCCTCTCGGACAGGGCTAATGACTGCCCTTTTCTGCTTTGGTATCTTGATGAGGCTTCCATTATTACAGGTGGCTTACTGCGTGGTAATTACTTATTTAGCCATCTGATCACCCAGGAGGCCCCGCGTTCCATTCGTCTGTGTTGTCACCAAGCTTGATGATACAGTCAGCAAGTCGTGGTTACACTTCGTGGGGTTTCTGGCGCCTTGTAGCTCGTGGGAGTGGCTGTCTGAGGGTCCTACTCAGAGGCGGGCAGCCTCCCCTCCTGCCTCTCCTCCTAACCAGGGGTTAGAGCCTCATTTCTCCCAGCAGAGCTGATGGTCTAGAGCAGCGGTTCTCAACCTGTGGGTCACAACCCCTTTGGTGGTCGAACGACCCTTTCACAGGGGTCGCCTAAGACCATCCTGCATATCAGATATTTACATGACGATTCATCACAGTAGCAACATGACAGTTATGAAGTAGCAACGAAAATAATTTTATGGTTGGGTCACATGAGGAACTGTATTTAAAGGGCCAGAAGGTTGAGAACCACTGGTCTCAAGGCTGCCCCCAGTGCCCCGGGCTGTGGCTGACGTAACCCTTGAGGCGGTAAGGAGTTGGCAGAATGCAGGCGGAGGTCTGCAGCAGGGTTGGCGCTCCCTGGGCACGAGGCACTGGGAGCCAAACAGGCTTTCTAAGGGCGTGCGCCTCGGGCGAGCCTGGCCTCCGCCTTGACCAGCAGCTGTCGTCAGTGGCTCCCTCTGGCTCTGTACCTACACGTTCCTTGTCTTGGTCTGCTTGGGCTGCCGTGACAGAACGTCACAGACGGGGCGGGGGGCTTGCACAGCAGAAAGTCGTTGTCTCACTGTTTTGGAGGCTGGTAGTCTGAGATCAAGGGGTCAGCAGGTTGGTTTCCTCTGAGCTGCTCTCTTTGGCTTGCAGACGGCCGCCTTGTCACTGTGTCCTCACGTGTTCATCCTTTGCTCTGTGTCCTGATCTTTTCTTTTTTGGTTTTTAAAGACGGCTTGTAGATTTTTTTCCCCTTAAATATGTTTTTATTGACTTCAGAGAGGAAGGGAGAGAGAGATAGAAACATCCATGATGAGAGAGAATCATTGATCGGTTGCCTCCTGCAGGCCCCCCACTGGGGATTGAGCCTGCAACCCGGGCATGTGCCCTGATCAGGAATCAAACCATGACCTCCTGGTTCATAGGCTGATTCTCAACCACTGAGCCACACCAGTGGGGCCTAATCTTTTCTTTTAAGGACACCAGTCAGATGGGATTAGGCCCACCTCTATGACCTCATTTCACCTTAATTACCTCTTTCAAGGCCCTGTTTTTAAATACAGCCATATCCTGAGGCCCTAGGGGTTAGGGCTTCAGCATAGGAGTTCTAGGGGGACACGATTCAGCCCAGAACACTCCTGCCCTTTGCTTAGATGCAGATTCCCAGGAACCTGGCTGTGCTGCCTGTGCCCTTTGATCTTACCTAGAGGTGACCTGTGATGGGACATTGTCCCTGCAGGAAACTGAACGGTTTGGGGTTTTTTCCTTATATGGGCGAGGATGGATTTTATCCAAGACTCAGCCATCTCTGGGCTGTACGGGTAGGTAGCTGCTGAAATGCTAATGGATGACTCATAGGCAGTTGATCAAGGAGGCAGGTAGGAGCGGAGGTATTTAAAGCCTGGCACTTAGGAATAACCTTGAACACAATTCAGTGGGGCTGGCCTTTGACAGTGCAGTTTAGAGCAAGCCCATGCACTGGGC